TCAACTTTGAACGTCATGTTTCCAGAAAGAATCTGGAGGTCGAAGGGCCTGACGGGGTTGAAGTGGCTGGTGCGGAATATCAGGACTACTCTCTCGGCTGATGGGCAGACGTCGAATGTGTGCATGAACGCGATGAAGGGTCCCTAGAACACACGTCCACTTCAAATTAAAGATTGGCTATCCGAGAAGGTCACTGTTATCCTGGATGAAAAAAACATCCTTGTTTTCAGGGTGAGCTTGTGAATCCCGCACGCTCCAGAGCTCACGAATAGTATTTTGGGCATATGTCAGGCACAAGCAAGTTCGTTATGGAAAGAAGTTCGAAAATAGGGTATTTCGGAGGAGGTCTCGCCCGGAAGAACAAAAACGGAAGATGTGTCAATTTCTGTACGAAATAACGCTGAGGATGAGCCCTCCACCCTTGAAACCTTACGAAGCATGTTGAGCATACATACGTACAAACTAATTTACTTTGTTATACGAAGAAATAAGTCGCAAATTACGAAGTATTTTCTTTGTAAGCTTATGTATGCTCAAAATACTTTGCTCTAGCAAACTGCTTTGCTTTAAAAGGCCTGAAATAGTTTGTACGGTTTTCTCAGTGTCCAAAATACCCTCTTACGAAGTATTTTCATTGAATGCTTGTATATGTCATAAATTCTTTGTTGTATCAAGCTGCTAAAGACAACTGTAAGTATTGAGAGTGCAGGTACTGCTTATGCCAAGGAGAACGCCACGCAGACGTGCCTTTTAATGAATTTTGCGCCCTCCATGATTGCGTCTGATCTTCCGTTGTAGCTCTGAAGTACCATTCGCTATGCTCCACTGAAACTGATCATTTTGGGTTTGCTGAATCTTGAAAAGGAAGAACAATAGAAGGCCCTAAAAACTGATTCTGCGAATGCGCAGACATTCCCTCACCACCCGGTACACATGCGCAGAAGCTGTTTTTGATGCTTACTTTTGTTCTTCCGTTTCAAGATGCAGTGGAGTACCTTGATTTGTGTTAACAATCCTTCAAGGCCAGCCCCCCGCAAGTAATGGTATGTTATCACGGGATGTAAATTGGCGGAACTGACGAAAGAAACTGAAAATGTGGCCTCATAACCGTGTTAATTGCAACTTTTTGTAAGAATGCCACGTCTGACACTTTCTCTTCCTTACAGTGAGTCACACCGTGCACTTACCGCATACATAGGGATGTTTCTTCCCAGAACGCAATCAAAGGCCAGTGGCGTCAGTACGAGGATAGATGAAACTGTGGCTAGCACTGTTCGTCGCAAACAGAATGGGTTTAGTCTAAGGACCGGTTCACTGTAAATACAAAGGCAACACTTTTAGTACCTATTTTAGCGATACAATTGAGTATCGCCAAAAAACGGCCTTACGGAAAAGTATTGCCTTCAGAACGGCGATACACAAAAGTATCGCCAAAATTTGGCGATACTTTTGAGCACTGCCACGATTTGGCAATGAACGTTGAACAAATCAAGGGGACGAGTTCTTAGTTGAATGCCGTGGTTTTGGCGATACCCAAAAGTATCGCCAAATTTTGGCGATACTTCTGTGTATCGCCGTTCTGAAGGCAATAATTTTCCGTAAGGCTGTTTGTTGGCGATACTCGTACCGCCCAAAAATGTACTTAAGTATCGCCTTTGCATTTGCAGTGTTCGGTGTCCCGAAAAAACAGAATATTTTTTAGCTTCCAGAGGCATACAAGGCATTGGAGTGACCTGGGACTGATATGACCAGGGGGCGGCAACGGCCTAGGAGGCGCGTGAAGCCATGCGCGAGTAAGGTGTAGCACTCTACAAAAAATGTCGTGTCAACGCCGTTAATTTATTACAAATTTTTGCTGTTATGCGATTCAAGGCGTTTGCTGTGAACTGGTTCACGGCGTTCACTGTGATCTCGGTTTCAGTGTTCACTGTGATCTGGCCACAGTAAACGCCGTGTATTGGAGCCTGATTTGCAGTACTTCGGTGCTCAGCGGCGTCGAACTTACAGTGTTTACTGTGAACCAGATCACAGTGAACACCGGGAACAGGATCACAGTGAATCCCGTGAGCAGATCACAATTAACGCTGCAAATTGACCTACAGTGAAAACTGGTAATAAATTAACGGCATTTACAGGACATTTTTGGTAGAGTGAGGGGTTACTTATTTTGCTTCGATTGTAAGATCTAGGCCGTTGATTGCAAAACGATTTGCACAGATCGAAAGAGCACAAAATTTGGGGTGCATTAGGCCTAGTAGACTGCCCGATACTTCCAATTCAACCGAACACAAGGGCAAAATCATTTACACCAACATGGCGCATTCGAGTTTTTTTCCTAAATTTTATGATTTTTGTGTTTTTTGGTGTTTTTACTGCACCTTAATATTCGGTAAGGGAGGAGTTTCGAGAAAGGCAATTAGCCTAATGCACCCTAAATTTCAAGCCCAAAGTGTTTTGAAAAACACAGTCTAGTTTTCATAATCTCGAACAAGTGCGCAACCTCTGCACTGACCGCGCGAGCATCGCTTCACGCTCTCCCTAGGCCGTTGCCACCCCCTGATATGACAAAGTACCATCTCCACACTGCAACTCCAAGTGTGGTGGGACAAATTGCCCGGTCCCACGCTTGATTGCACGTGGTTTGCGTGCTACAACTTAAAACGTTGGCTTCCTTAGACTCCTTATCCTTTTTCCATTCAAATGAAGGAACCAGGAAGACTTAGAAGGCCTAGTTTTAATATCGAAGAAGTGGGAAACCGCTGCATCTCGTCCAAACATGGCTTCATGCGTTCCCTTGGCCGGGTGATTCCGTGCGTAGGGGGTCATTTTGGATGTACCAAATGTTCTTTTTTAAAGTTCAACTTTAGGGGCTAAATTTGGTGTAGATGGCATACATAGTACCCCACAGTACCCCTCTGAGCGTGGCAGCGCTACAAGTTGACTTTTATTTTCACTCCCTATGAAATACGGCGGAATTTACAGAAATAATGACAGAATTTACAGATTACGGAATTTACAAAGCGAAGTTTTTAGTCTCCTGAACCGCTGGGTTACAAGATAGGTAAAAACTGTTGACGGTGTCATTTTCAGCATCCATGATAGCATTTTTCAGCGAAGGTTGTGGGAACTTTCTCCCTCAGATGGAGGAGCTACGGCCCGAAACGGAATTTACATCCATTTTTACACCCTTACCGTTTTGAACTCTTCTGACGGCCTGGAAGCGTCGTTTGACCGCCCCAGGTCCCGTGGGCACGGGCTTCTGGAAGTGTTTTTTATGTTCTTTCGATCCCAAGTGGTCGCGAGTTTCTAAAATGAAAAGGAACCCCAGTAGACCGTCATTTGTAAAAACAGCATAGGTCACATGGTCACACGGTGGACGTTTTCCCAAAGGCTGTTTCGGGTTCAACAAGTGATGATACAAAGGTCACCCTCCGTAATTTTGTGAAGAATAAGTCAGGGGAGAGAGTGAAATAGCCAGTTTTCTTTTGATGTGGCTGAGTCATATACTACAGCATGGCAATGTTGTCTTATAGGTGTTGGTGACCATGACGGAACTTACAAAACGACACTTTAGCAGCTTACGAAACCCAGATAAACAAAAGTTAGATCGACTTATCCACATGAGGACATGGTCTTCGTTTAGTAAAACAAATTTGAATTGCCCAAGCTACCAAATCAACCTCAGTTCAGGCGCAAGGCCCCGGTGACCTGAAATGACCCCCTACGCACGGAATCACCCGGCCGCTGCCACCACCTGCGTGAAGTATCAGCGGAGAAAGAGCGTACACATTGCCGAAAACGTGATACTCCAATTATGGACCACATAAAGAAGTCACTCTTGTACCCTTTTCTGTTAGACACTCGTTACGAAACAGCAGCGACGAAAGTCAATTTCACGGTTCTTACCGTTCTTCTGGGCATGGCAGCAGCTCCACATTGTCGACGTGTTCTGATGAGCGCAGCGAACGATTTGTATCCAAGCACTGATCTGCGATATTCACGCGAGAGTGTTGTTCACAATAAAAGCAGTGCAAGGAAAGAGTTAGGAAAATTACGACACTTTAACAAATTTATGTCCCGGCCTTTGTCGTTACACTCGTGTAAATCTTGTCAGGATGTCAGAAACCTGTCTGAAAACCTGATCAAAAGTCGCGCACCTCTGAAAGCTGAAAACTTATTCTGACATTCTGTAGAATTCAGGCCACCAACATCAGAGAAGGTTTTCAGAATTTCAGCTTTCAGAGGTGCGCGAATTTTGATCAAGATTTCAGACATTTTTTTGACTTTCTGACAATATTTACAGGAGTGTAAGATGCGACAAATTTGCCACTAATTGTCATAGCGAGTCAGTTCGTTTCGAATTTGGTTCCAAAAATCAACTTTGGGCGAAAACGGCCGTAGCTCAGTAAACGAGGGCGACAGGCAAGGCTGCTATGCGTCATCTTTAAACGTTTTATACAGATAAGTTCCTACAAAGAACTGCTCTTTGTAATACGAAGAAAACGGCGGCTTCGCAGCCTGCGATGGAAATCGTTATAAATACGAATGATTTTCTTTGTTATTCCAAGGGAAAATCCTTCGCAGGCTGCGAAGAAGTTCTTCGTAGGCTACGAAGAATTTTTCCTAGTACAAAGAAAATCGTTCGTATTACAAACGATTTCCTTCGCAGGCTGCGAAGCCGCCGTATTCTTTGTAATACAAAGAGCAGTTCTTTGTAGAGTTTTAAGTGTGTAAGCTTATTTGGCTTATTCGTTCAAAATTAATATTTCAAATATGCATTTTTCCAAAAAGGGAAGGGACCCACCATTGATTATTTTACCTTGGGCAACTAAATAAAATAAACAAAAGCACTGCCACCCATTACTTTTGGAAGTTGATTTTTTCACCTTATATTAACCTCAAAGGAGATTTCAGTCAAAGATTTTATCACGAGTTATCATTTTGAATGTTTCCGACGATCCTGTCTCTCTTCTCCACGTTGATTACTCGCTTTTCTGCAGGTGTCTCTCACGGCGATGAGCTGGGCTACCTGTTCCCCGTGGAAATGTTGTCCGCCGAGGACATCCGACCCGGCGATGTCGACCTGCTGGTCAGGGACCGGTGGACGCGCATGGTGGCCAACTTCGCGAAGTTCGGGTAAATCAATGAGAACCACCTCTGAAGAGTTTCTAAAATCAAAAGAAGCTTTAGCGTGGAAGAAGAGGAACAAAAGCTGAACAAAAGCGGAAGTGAGAAATGACCCCCCCCCCTTTTCCCCAAAAAATAATAAAAAAGTATGAGCGGTGAACAAAAGAACATTTTATAAATGCTACCGCTGAATTCAAATAGCGCTTCTGCCATCTGATTCAAAGGAAAAGCTTACGTCTCGTTACGTTTCGTTCCCTACCTGAACATGTGTTTCCAGCACTGCCAATCAAAACTTCCAGGTGTTACTTCCGTTTTAGATCCTCTTCGTCCGTGCCGGAGCTATCCTTTGAGATGAGCTTAAGGGGGCTCATACATGTTAAAAGCACTTTTAAAAAAAAAAAATTTTGATGTAGACGGATTAAGATTTTACAATATCTGCGTTAAAATCCTTTTAGATAATTTAGTAAGCTTCATTTTGGCTTAAGAGAAAGTGACTTTGGACATTTTTTGGAGATTTAGTCGAAACGTTTAAAATTTTGCTTCTCGTAAGATTTTGTTCGCATACTTGCTCAGATCTGTGGGGAAAAAATCAGGGAGACTCATCCCCAGTAGTGTCATAGAATTGACTAGAATGGGCTTTATATCTGCAATAGTTTTCAAGAAAAAAAATAAAAACAATTTTTTTGACAATTTTTTAAACAAATTTTTAAACAAAAAATTGTTTTTATTTTTTTTCTTGAAAACTATTGCAGATAGAAAGCCCATTCTAGTCAATTCTATGACACTACTAGGGATGAGTCTCCCTGATTTTTTCCCCACAGATCTGAGCAAGTATGCGAACAAAATCTTACGAGAAGCAAAATTTTAAACGTTTCGACTAAATCTCCAAAAAATGTCCAAAGTCACTTTCCCTTAAGCCAAAATGAAGCTTACTCAATTATCTAAAAGGATTTTAACACAGAAATTGTAAAATCTTAATCCGTCTACATCAAATTTTTTTTTTTAAAAAGTGCTTTTAACATGTATGAGCCCCCTTAACCTTTATAGCGTATTTTAACGAATCCCTGGACCGGAAGTCAAAGAACGAAAGTAAGATACAAAACTGCCTCTGCGCATGCGCAGACGCTGCCTCAGAGTAGAGGGGGGACATCTTTGGCATGCGCAAAAGCGGTTTTGGTTCTACTTTTTTCTTTGACTTCCGGTCCAGGGATTCGTCATACCCTAATCCTTCATGTTGTGCCTCCACTCCACTGTGATGGTCCTCCCCGTGGCGCAGGTTTCCGACGGCGGCGGCCGCGGGCTCTGCTGCCGACCCGGCCCTCAACGTGACCTGGCCACCGAGCACGACGGCGACGCCTCGCTACGTGGAGATCGGTGCGACGATGCAGCTGCGCAGGGGCTTCCCTTTGGAGGCCGCGTTCCGGTTTTGGGACACAGTGTACCAAGCGGTCGGCCGTCAAGCAGCCAGCGGCTGACGGGGGCTGCAGGCGCGGATCCAGGATTTCTGTTCAGGAGGGGTACTTCTGGCAAATGTCTATCACAGGTTGCCTATCTATAGGGGCATCATCGCAGATATTGCGACGTTTCGCCGCATTGACCGTCTAAAGAGTAAAGTGGGCCGTTTCTCGCTGTAAAATGCGCGTTTCATACTCTTAAGACTCTTTTAATCGAGGTGTGAATGGGTAGCATGTCCTAAACTATAGAGCTCGTGTGTTTTGGAGCGAGCTTCCGTCCTTGTGTAAATTGGGGCTGAATGTTTCTTCTTTTGTGCGGTTTTTATGTGATAACAACACTAACTGGATGTTGAAGTAATACGTGTATATGCGAGCAGAGCGAGCCACAGGTCGTTCATAATTACACTGAAAAACCGAACGTGATCTAGACCACACCACTGGTGTGGTCAAATGGGTGCCATTTTGACCACACCAACTGATGCGTTTTTCAGTCTAGGACTGGCGTTCTATTTGATTTTAAAAGGTTTCTAATTAATAAACTTACATGTTTGAAAAGGATTAAATGACGGCTGCAGTTAATGCCAGGGAGCGTAGCGATCCGCAAGCTCCATACTTTTTCAAAATTCTGGCTCAATTTCAACGCGTTTCAGAAGTTTCCAATCTAAAAGGCAAATAGAAATACAAATGCTCTGCGAGCAATGCGACCCACAAGTCATGGGTCGTTTAAGACTGCCGTTACGTTGTTGAAGAGGTTTCTAAAGAATGAATAAAACAATATCCCAATAGCATAACCTGCGACCCAGGCCCGTAGCAAACCCCTTATACTTTTCAATATTCCTATTCGTTACAAGGACTTAGACCGTACCGTCACCGTCAACGACGTCTTGTTCACCAAGCTCATCGCTTATTGCGAGCGAAGCGAGCTAAAAGCTCCGCACTTTCACACGTCAAATTCAAACTTTCCCATTTTTCCGCCTATCTTTACATTGTCTTCTCTCTCTCTCCTCTCTTTCTCCCTCTCTTTTTTTCCATGCGCGTCTCAGGGTTTGCCCCCCCCCCCCACACACACACACACGGATCCGCGCTTGATGAGTGCGAGAGAGACAGAGTGTCGAAAATGACTCTCGGAATGAGTCTGCAGGCGGAGATCAAAGGCCATCGATGCGCTGGCGCGAAACTGGCCGTCCCCTCCACCGTAGCCGCCTTTGTGTGCGTGTGTGTGATGACAAAGCGGAGGTGCAGGGTCGCTCGTGCCACTCATTCTTCGACGTGTCCTGGACCTGGCTACCTGCTGCCCAAGGAAGCCTTCCAGTCGGAAGGTAGTGACGAACAGTCAGTTTGTGGAGACTCTCTGCAGCCGGTCGCGGTCGCAGTGTCCGAGGCCCACACTTTGCTCGCCCCGAAACCGCCATGGCGTGGTCTCGGCAGGTCGTGGTGGTCGTCGTGTTCGCCCTGGCCGTCTGCGGCGCCCTGCCTCCGGGGGCTGTGACGCCCGACGCGGACTCGACGACCACGGCCTCGTTGACCACGGCCTCGTCGACCACGGCCTCGTCGACCACGGCCTCGACGACCACGGCCTCGACGACCACGGCCTCGACGACCACGGCCTCGTCGACCACGGCCTCGACGACCACGGCCTCGTCGACCACGGCCCCGTCGACCATGGCCTCGTCGACCACGGCCGTTCTCTCATCAGCTGGAGCGGTTTTCACGGAGGAGGCCTTCACTGGACCTCTCACGACTTGGGGACACGGAGCTGCTGGAGGTGAGGCCGCTTCAACGAACACGCAGAACTTATCTACGGTTGGATTTCAATAGCTCGTCGTTGTTTTGGGTTGTTTGGCCCCCTCCCCCCTCTAAGTGACAATTAGACCACCTGATAGGTATGCAAAATACCGTACTTCGATGCTTGCAAGCGCTTGCAAGCACACTACAAGGATTTGTGGTTGGCTTTGTGGGGGAGCATGCCATGCACTCTCTGCAGTTTCTAGAGTTTTTTGGGGGAGATTTCGGATTTCCAGAGATTGCAAGCGCTCTAGGGACACAGGATTTCTCAAATGGTCCCTTCCTCTACCCACTCTGGAGCTACCACTGCATCTGCGCATTCACTCCCAGGCGCGGCCGTCCTCCCCGAGGGAGCCGTCCCGCGGTTCAACCTCCTCGAAGGCGTGCGCCGACACCCGCCCTCCGAGGCTTGCCGACGAGCCCTCGACGACGTCCTGGAGGCCAGCACGCAGCTCCGGCTGTGGGCCCTCAAGAGTGAGTAAATCTCGACTGGGTTCCGGAAGAACATGAAGACAGGTGGTTGACTAGAGATGCAAATTTTCCGGAAACTTTCAAAGGGTCGGAAAAGAACCGGAAAAGTTGAAAAAAAAACAACAAAAAATTTGGAAAAATAGGAAAAATAGGAAAAATTAGTTTTTAAGCACTATCAACATGAAACCGACTACTTTTGTGCTTTGTTACAACTTAACTTATACTGACAATCTAAGATTCACAACAGCAACCTCAAAAAAAGAAACGCACGAGAAGGGATCACAACAGGGTATAAGAAGTTTGAGTGCACTGAGAATGGTGTTCACAAAGGGTTAAAGGTATGCTTTTAGCCTACTTTCAGGCGAAATGCCCGACTTTTTGCCTACTTTTCAGGCTGAATCTTTCCAATTTTTCCGAGGCCAGGGAAAAAAACGAAAAAAAACCAGTGTTTTTTTCCAATGTTTCCGGAAACTTTCCGGGCATTTTCATCCCTATGGTTGACTTTGTCACCTGCACGGTGGCCTTGACAACGTCCCTCGGTCATTTCACTTTCGCCAGTGCACTCTTCGTCCGTGGTGCTCCCGGACGCGCTGCTGGCCGCCAACATGTACCCGCTGGGCGACTTCGACGGCTGCCTGTCGGTGCCCGAGGCAGTGTACTGCCTGCTGGACGTGGAGGTCCGCCCGGCCAGGCAGTCCGGGGCGCCCCCTCTGCCGACGCACCCTGGCGACGAAGTGAGCCCCTTCGAGCCGCCGCACGGCCAGAACGCCACCCTCTGGGACCTGCTGCAGGTAGGCACGTCGCTGTTGGTGGATGAAGACCATACACAGTGGGCCAGAAGACCGGTAGAGGCCGCCGAAAGTCTAGACGCGTTTGAAGATCCAGAGTCGCTGAACATAGGACTCAAACCAAACGTGTGACCCCCACGAGGGTTCCTCGTGCGGAGGGCAATCCATTAGGGGCCGTTCAAATATGAGGTCACACTTTTTAGGGAGGGAGGGGTCAGAGAAATCGTGACCAAATGTGACATGGGGGAGAGGGGGATGAAGGCATTGTGACATCACACTTTGAAACAGTGTAAAGTTGCCAAATATAATAGATGTCAGCCTCTAAAAAAAACTCAAATCAGCAATCCCCGCCTACTTAAGCTTAAATTGTCACTGGCCTAAGTATTGTAGCTCAACTGTCCTTAGATTTTTCCGAACAAGTTCGCGTTAGACCGGATTTGTCAAAATGCAATCAAATTGTTATGAAATCCCAATTTAGGCACCAAATTAAGACGATCTTGTCGCGTATCTATCCCAGTTTCAAAGAATAATGATTTGGACCATGTGATGTCACAGGGAGGGGAGGGGTGAGTCAAAATAGTGACCACTCTGCAAACTGAAGTGTGTACATAGTACACTCTTATTAGAGCATGCTTCCTAGTACACTCTTATTTACAGCATACTTGCTAGGCACACGCTAAAATAGAGTGTGCCTGGCAAGTACACGCTAAATAAGTGTGTACCTTCCATGTACACGCCCAAATACACTCGGTAAGTCCTATCTAAAAGCATGGGCCAGTTTAAGTGTACTTGCCAGGTACACTCTTATTTAGCGTGTACATGCAATGTACACTCTATGTAAGTGTGTACCTAGCAAGTATGCTGTAAATAAGAGTGTACTTGGAAGCATGCTCTAATAAGAGTGTACTACGTACACACTTCAGTTTGCAGAGCATCTGTGACCATAGGGGGGAGGGGTCAAAAAATGAGCCTAAAAAGTGTGACGTCATATTTGAACGGCCCCTTAGTGGGGTCACACGTTTTGTTCGAGTCCCATTCAGGGACTCTAGAGCTCAAAAGGCGTCTTCAATTTTGGACGCACTTCTGACCCACTGTGCCGTGCTTGTCGCTAACGCTGCGGCGTGTCGCAGACTTCGGGCAACCGGCGGCGATACCGGCGTGACCTGCAGCAGTGGGCGGTGTGCGTGCCGGCGGCGTGCGGCCCGAGCGGTGGCCAGGCCGAGCAGGCGGCCAGGCAGTCCAGCGCGGCGCTGGGGAAGGCCGTGGCCGCGGCGGTGGCGCCGCTGGGCCGCGCCCTGGCAGTGGAGCTGCGGCTGCACCTCGAGCCCAGCGACTGCAGCGACTTCGCCGACCAACACGCCGACAGCTTCCAGGCGGCGCTGCGGCAGCGGACTTCCCTACTGCTCGTCACGTAAGGAGCACTCAAAAGACCTAAATGTTATGTACAATTTTCTACGAGACATCACAGTTTTTTGTGCACGCGAAATTTTCGTAAGGGAGTATGGGGCGATTTGTAACAGATTTTGGAATTCTCTATACAAAATTAAGAACATTCTGCATATCGGTGTCAAACTTGTGCCAGTTGAGCAGTCTGGCCCTTCATCTAGACTGTGCAGCTTCATTGGATCAATCTGGAGTCCGTGATCTTTGAAATCTAAGACGCTTTCCAAACCCTTGCATGCTGTTACGAATCGCCCCAGCATGGGGTGATTTGTAACAGCCATGGGGCTTTTCATAACATCCTACACATTAAATGAAACATCGTCGGGAATGTTATCTCCTCCAGCAGTTGTTCTTCGGATGTCCTGCAGACGCCTTAAAATCTACATTACAAGCTGCCCTTGACCGCCTCAGCATAAACTGACCGGCTATGTCAACCCTAACCTCACTTTTTTCAATTTTGGAGGAAATAATAGAATAACTCGCTTTAAAATGCATTTTGAACTGTGTAAATGTAAGGTAAAAAATTAATTGTGGGTCACATTTTTGAAAATTCCAAATTAAGGCATTTTATTATGACCTGGTGACAAAAGTGCATGTGTGGTCTTAAACTGTGGTCCTTGGACTAAGTTTTGCAGCATAGTAGCCCCATCTATCATCCTTATTTACTAAGCTGTGGCTGTTTTAAAAATAGTCTGTTTTGGCCCACAATTGATTTTTGGAACCATTTGTGGGTCAGCATTGTAGAAAGCTCAAATTTGGATATGATTTGCTTAAATGCGAGAGGAATTCACTTTTGAATATTTTTTTTCGGAATCGTGAAAACTGCAGGATCTGTAGCACAATGAATCAATTCTGGGTCATATCAATTGTGGGCCATTTCGTCTTTTTGCTCGTAAATTGACCATTTTTGCAAGATTTTTTCTTATTTTCATTAATAAAAGGTCCCTGGTTCTCAATAAACCAAGCAGGCACGTTTTTCACTCAAAGAGGAAAAATATGTAAACAGGCCTATTTCACTGTGAGACCGATGTGAGTTAAACGTCCTGGAAGAGACGAAACTTTTATAGTACATATTCTAGGGCCGCCGGTGTGGTAGACAATCCAACACCACACCCTGTCATCGTGAGGTATTGCTACAGTTTATAATCTATTTCAGTCAGAATATTTAGTCTGTAGGGATTGATTTGACTCCTACAGGGCCGGACTGGCCTCGGGTGCCTAGCCTCTGCAGTTAGAGAGCGGTCCCCTTCCGGGCGCGATGTAAGCCCCGCAATGCCCCCCCCCTTCTCCAACAAAAAAAGCCTTATGGCGGACTGGAAGTAAGTGTTAGCGTTGTCATTCGGGGCTGTAGCGTAAGCTTAACAACCTTCGTATTGTAGTACTAAATGTGACAGAGCAGAAAAATGGAATTTACTGCGATACATCAGTAATTCAGAAGCGCTGAAAACAAAAATTATTAGAAAAACTACCGTAAAATTCGTCTAAAATAATGGGTCAGACATGGTAGCGAACCCTCCTTTGCCATCACCCGCGCACCATGGCATCGAATGATGTCGGCTGTACTATGGTAAATTTATGTTCCCTGACCTATTATGAACCTAAATCAGCAAGGGCGTCCCGTTTTATCTCGTAATAGCTTCACGGTGGCAATTTGAAAAACACTCGATTTTACGCCTCGTTGGATGGGCGCTTTTTTCTCGACTTTTTGAAGGGCCTTCCTTTGAAGCCTGATAGGAGCTGTTACAGTCGTCGCTCGGACATACACGCTATTTGGGGAGACAAAGAAAGGTTGGAGGAAGGTCTACCGCGAAATTCAAATCGATTCAATATCCACAGGGTCTGCGGTGACCCGTCGAAAAAAATGACCCACAATTGATTCGTGACCCACAATTGATTTTTTACCTTATTGGAATCAGGCAGCAGATGATTCGAGAAATAATTCAAGCATTTAATTGCAAAAATTGCTTAAATTCTTGTTTTTATACGGGTCTGTTACGAATCACCCCAATTGCCGGCTACGCAAGAAATACGTCCCTAACTATCACTGGACAAAGTAAAAGCACACTGTTAAAAAAAATATGAAAATTCAGACTGATTTCGTCTTACTTGGTGGTCTGAATCGTAAATTCATAAAATGGTACGAATATTAAGACCAACTGTCTGAAAAGTTTGACCTGTTGTCTGAAATTTGAATTTAGACTAGCAAGTCTGAATATTTAGAGCGATGGCTATCAAGTTTTGTACATTGTCGTCCGAAAACTAAATTCATACTTGTGAAATCGAAAAACGAGTGAAAAAACCCCGTCCCCTTTGTACATTTTTCGATTTTCTCAGAACTTTTATCAATACTACTGTTGTATTTCAAATAATATTTACGTTTAGTGTCGTAAAAGCATAGAGAATGTTTCAGAGCTCCGAAATGGACACTTATTGCTCTATCCGCTAGGTGGCGCTAGTGTCGCATGGATGATCTCTTGGAGCTAAAATTGCCACTTGAAGGCGAAATTGCGAATATTTTGTTACAAACTTATTCCAAGTGATTGTCTGAAAGGGCATGAGCGCACCAAAGCAAGATTCAGGTTAATAAGTGCAGTATAAGCTAAATAACAAAGAATACAATTTCACTCTCGCGCATGGCCACGGGTCGGCGCGTGGTTGGGCTAAGGCCGCTCTCCCTCGCATTTCAGCAGTCACCTCTACACTGTGGGAAAAAATCACAGTAAATCCTGTAGTGATTAGTACAGCTGTGACTGTAGTTCAGAGTACAGGATTTACTGTACTTTTTTACATGATCTACTGTACTTTGTACGGGATTTACTGTATCACAGGAGTGGAGTACGGAATATCCTGTACCAGGTACAGTAAATACTGTAGCCAGGCACAGTAAATCCTGTGTTCTGAACCACAGTAAATCCCGGCATAAAAATTAACGGGATTCACTGTGGTTTTTTCGCACAGTGTAGCCTCTTCACTTCCTTTGCAAGTAGGAGTCTACTGCCGTGTACCTAATTTTTGAGTCAAGACGATCCGCTGAGCGTCTACGATAAACCGATGGCAAAAGTTCGCCGATTCGTGTTCTACTCTACAGAGTGGCATTTTTTAGTGCGACTGTTCAATGTCTTCGTACAACTTAGTCTGATAAAATAGACCGACTGGTATCATTTTTCATACAACATGTTGATCTGAAAATTCAGACTAACGTCGTCTGAAACTTTCAGACCGCGAAGTATGAAAGTTTTGGTATGAAAATTCAGACTGAATGTAAGTAAATCGACTTCTTACAAAAAATTATGAATTTTCAGTAAATTTTTTTAACAGTGCACCTTTGCCACGTGGTTACATTGTAAAGGGGTCACGCTTCAAGGCCCCAACGGTACTTCGATGGTGATTCATACCTGGGGAGCCTCAGACAGAAACTTCCTAGAACTCAAAATAAAAGATCTGCCTGTTTTCGGTGAACCCTATATTTCAGACGCCCTCCAAAACTATAACTGAGCACCGATCACATCCGCTTCGATTGTTGAAGGACCCTGTACTTGAAGCGAAAGAGGGGCCATACTCAGATTTTCCTCGGCTCCCTCCACTTAAATTAATAAACGCATTTGTTACGAATCGCCCCTGTTACAAATCGCCCCATACTCCCTTACAATTTTCGAACGATAAACTGCACATTTTTCGCAATTTTTGTACAAATTTGTACAAAAAGTCCGTGTGCACAAAAAACTGTGATGTCTCGTACAAAATTTGTACAAAAACATTTCGTGTGGATTCTCCAGCATTGTATTGCAAACTGTCCCCTGAAAATTGACAACTATTCCCGGGAATACCAGGAAATGGATTTAGCGTGTGACTTTTCAAAAATGTCGAAATTGATGTATTCTAACAGAAAAAGATTCGTCTTGACATGACTAAAAAAGCCAACTTATGTCATGGGTTTTGATGGTAAATTAGAATTTTTTTTTGAACTTTGGAAGTACGTTTATTAGCCACTACAGTACCATCGCGATCGCTGTCGCCTCGATCGCTGTCGTGTGCGAGAGAGACGGACATAAGATTCGGCGCTAGCCCGCTCCGCTTGCCGGGCCGAGCTACCGGCAGCGCCGACGCACGCTTGCTCCGGCCAGCCAGCGGCCGGGCCGAGCCTAGCCATGCCCCCCCCTCCCCCCCGCCCCGCCCCCCTTGCCCTGCTGATGACTGGCATAGAATTCATTTTGACCCCTCACCCAAGTACGAATTCTTGCAGGGCATATTTCGCTCAAAATATGCTGTATGCCGAGTTTTACAATACGTCGTACAAGCTGCTGTGACAGAAGATGCCATGCACTTAAGCCGGAAAACCTCTCCTCACCGTAAAAGGGAGGGGGGGGGGTGTCTAAAGGAGCGGAGCCTCCCAGCTCAAAATTAATACCCAGATGCTTTTTCGACTTACTATAACGTCGGTATGTGTGCCCCAATGTCTTCCAAAAAACTTACACGAGCCATTTCTTTCATTTCAACTTGGTGAATAGACCATTCTAGTTTTTGCTGTGCGACCTGCGCTCCCGTCAATTTGTATGCTGATGTCTTGCAAAGCAGCCTGCTGAAGGCAGACTAGCGCCTCAGGCCTGGGTGTGTCAACTTCAGGCGTGGATTGTCGGATCCGGCCTCGGAACTGGCGCAGCATCGCGAAGCCTGTAACGTCCTTCCACGACAAGGCAGATCTGGCTTACACCTACTCTACAAATCAAAGAGTGTACATAGTATGCTCTAACTGGAGCATGCCTGCAAGCACGCTCTAGCTAGCGCATGCCTGCCAAGCATGCACTAACTAGTGCATACATGCCATGTACACGCTTCCTGATGCAGAAAACTCCCTATCCCTTATGCAGTAAATGTATGCTTCAGTTAGCGTGTACATGGCATGCTCCAGTTAGAGCATACCATAGTAAACTCTTTGATTTGTAGAGTACCTTGTAGCTTTCTACTTAATGTCCCATCGCATCGCACGTATGACAATGAGTACTAGACATACAGTATTTAGTGTGACTTGTCGAGATGAATCCATTTCTGTCAAGTGATCTCAGTTTGGACAATTTTGAAATTTCACCCCAGGAAATGAAACTAAAACGTCCTCTTGGATTCCAAGGCGGCTCTCTAAATAACCGTTCTTGGACACCCACTACCACAACCCTGTTGTCAGAAAAGTAGGCACGGTTCGAGGGAGGGGGAGGCGGTGCGAAGAGTGACGTCTTTTTCCAATTCTGGAGGCAGGCGACCCAAATTGCATGCAGAAGGTAGGCAACATTTACAGTCGCCCATTTGGCCTACATCCGCGGTATCCTCTTAAACCGTGATTTCCTACCATACTGGCGTTCAACTGAAAAAATGGCACATTCGCTAAAGCATGGATCAACATTAAAATAATTGTGACGTCATCAGCCTTACTCGTTTTACTGGTACTCCCACCCCATCGTCTCAGTCAGCGGTGCGTCGAAAAATAAAACAAACGAAAAAAAAACTCAGCTCTATAAGACTCACGTAGAGGAGTTAAACCGTTAATCTTTGAGTAGCTTGCTATCAAAATCTTTGTCTCATCGCGAGCTCTTGGTCTGTGACATTCTCCTAATAAATTATGTCCCATTAGTGCGACCATTTGCATTATGCATTTTATTCGCACGAGTCCTTCAGTAATTGGTGGCCGTAAAAACAGGGAACTCGCTGGGCGCGCGTTTATAGTAGCTCTCGAACTGCGACCGGGGAGGGGAAGAGTAGCGGCGGCCGCGACGCACAGTGGGCCAGAAGACCGGTGGAGGCGGCAAAAACTCTAGACGCGTTTTGAGCTTCAGAGTCGCTAAACGACTCAAAGCGAACGTTTGACTCCATTAATGGATTCCTCGTTCGGAGAGAAATCCATTGGTGGGGTCACGTTCAGTTTGAGTCTTGTTTAGCGACTTTGCAGCTCCAAAACGGGTCTAGAATTCTTGCTCACTCCGCCGATCTTCTGGCCCACTGTGTCACGCCATGCCGCGCGTCACTTAACGCGGGAGCGGCTGAGGGGTCGCGCGGTCGTGCGTGACATGACATTTAGAGTGTGTGTGCTTGTGTGTGTGTGTGTGCACAACACTTCCAAAACACCCCCACGCTCTCATACCCCGAAATTCGGTCCTGTCTACTGATTTAATTTTCACTATTCGCCACTTTTTTGACTTACATTGGGAGGTGTTTGTCCTTCTTTCCGGAGTTCTTGCTAAGTGTGTATTTAGATTCTTCAGGAACAATTGACAGGAAACTAGAACCTGACCTGGAGCTGACTTCAGCGAGGATTAATACTTTCGGAGACATTCTGGCCCGTTCATTGAGAAGTGACTAAATCCCACATCTTGGCTAAACAAGTTAACAATACAGTCTCTACAAATATGACGTATTATTTCAGAAAAACACCTATCTTAAAGACAAATTTTGCCTAGAAGATGGGCCATCCGCTACTGCACTTCAATGCCGTGTTGAAAGCAGGTGCATGCGAAAAAGAGTCAAATTTGAAAACTTCCGGTGAGTGTGAGAATGAAAAATGCTTTGTGTGTTTGCGCAGCGTGTTGGTCCTGGCATTCCCCGCCCTCTTGCTGGTGGCCTCGGTTCGGACCGCATTCCGTAAATCCAACGACTGCAGCCTCCCGGCTCTGAAGCAGGGTGAGTGCATTAGGAGAAAAAGGTGCAAGTACGGAACTCGTCTGGTCAGCAATTTGCCTGGACCGTCCGAACTCGCCTACTTCGGGATCCTTTTGTTCCTTGCCCGTTCACATGAATTCATATTGCAGGGGTATCGAGTTACGGCATCAAAATGCTGAAATTCGGCCGTATTTGACCCCCAAAAGGTATTCTGTTAGTACGAGTTCTTGCACAGCTAGCTAGGGCTTGTGTTGTGTGTCGCGAGAGGTAACTCACTCGCTACAAATGGAACAAGTATGGATGTTCCGCATTTTCAGCGTTCTTCCGTCGTCTTCTATGAACGTTTTTCGTACTGAAGTTAAAGTACGGAATTGTCCCCAGGGAGTCTGTTGGGCCAACTACAGTACAAGGTACATCCCAAAATACGAGTTCTTAGATATAAAGAAAAGCTTCTCTTGGTTTTTGAAAAGAATAAGTCTTCATCCAGACTAGCTATTTCTGTTCTTTTTTTTTTAAATCTCGAATCATGTTTAAAAATCAAACAACAACGTAAAAACTTCAGATCTTTTTTTCTGGGAACATGAGAAAAGTAAACTGCTCCAGACCCACTGAGTCCCTTGTGAACGGTGAGATTTGTGGGCGTTAAAGCTCTAAAAATTGAATGGGCGGACACATGGCCAAATCATGGCGCGACAAAAAGTCACGCAAACGTCGAAACCTAGCGTGACAGGATATTCACGCCGTAAAACGGCATGACATGTGCGTCACGCCGTCATCTGACGTGAATGCACTGTGTGGAATGGTGCGCAAGAATACTTTTATGAGAAAAGTCATGCCAAAAACCGGCATCACGCCAAAACTTGGCGTGAATTCTGAGTCACGCCGATTTTTGGCATGACTTTTCCGTCATACCGTTTTTTTAGCGTGACTCTTATTTCACGCCCCAGCAGCGGCACGGAGTCACGCCGATAGATTTTCAGTGTAGTAACTCCACTCAGAAGTATGTACTTAAAATTTTTCTATATGTTCGAAACACAAGACTGCGCGTGCCTTGTATTACAAGACGTTCTTTTGCATTATAAGAAAACACGACGCAGTCGTATTGTAAAACAATTCTCTCTTAACGAGCTGTCTGATCTGTATAACATAGCTTTTTTTTTGTAATTCAAAACATTCTAAGGGAGAGTTCCGTACAAAGACGAGACAAACCCACCGAAATATATTAGGACACAATTTCTTTTGTAATTCTAAGAAAAGGTTTATATACAGAATTAAGTAATACTAGAGAATAATTTCATACTACAACTGCACCGAGTTTTCTTGTAATACAAAAGAATGCTTCGTAATACAGCAGTCGTCCCTCGTACAATCTTTTGTGTTTAATCCTGTAAATCTCATTCCCGTTTAATTTCATACCCTATGGTTGAAGCTCGTACCAATCACCGGAGGAGGCGGTCAAAATCAAAGACAGGTTTTGAGCTCCAGAGTCGCTAAACGGGACTCGAACCGAACGTGTCACCCCACCAACATATTGCTCTCCGAAATAGGAATCAATGGGTAGGGGGTCACGCGTTTGGGTCGAGGCCTGTTAAGCGAATCTGGGGCTAATAAGGATGTCCAGAGTTGTGGCCCACCTGCGGGGGCAACCACTCGAGAAATCCACTGCGTCACTGAGCCCTTGAAATCTCTGCAAATCTGAAATCATTACCCAAAAGGCAAAAGACAGGCAGATTTTGGGCGTAAAATTGAACCAAATCTTGCGAAATCCGACGGAATTTCTGGTCTTAAGAAATCTTGTGTCCCCAAACATCGAACGTGGTTGCCCCCCTCGCCCACATGTGCGGCGGTTCGGGAATGGTCTCGACTTCCCACCTCTGGCCGTTTTCACTCTTAGACTCGTTCTGAGTTTTTGTTTCATAACGTATAGACGCTTCTGCGCATTACTAGGCGTATTAACATTTTTATTTGTTCTACAAACATTATTATCAATTTTTTCATGACAAACATGTTTAGCTTCGTAACGAAACTCTGTTCATACGCGCAAACGTTAATGGTGAATATTGATAAAATGTTGATTGAAGGATTGTTGACTGCCCCAGGCGCGCTGGGCAGGGCGCTGGACTGCTTCGCCGCACAGGACACGTGGCGCGCGCTCTGCCGCCGCCAGAGTTCCCACATCCACTGCATCCAGGGCCTGCGCACCCTCACCATGTTCGGCATCATCATGCTCCACCGCGTCCTCTGCCGGGCGAGTGTCCCGCTGCTCAATGCGGACTACGTGGAGACGGTACTTCTTCCTGCTCACGCACGGGCCAGAAGCGAGGGGTGAATCACTAGTGTACTCATGAAGACAAATTGGCCCGTACTCCGTGTACTCACAATTAAAAAAAAAAAACTAAATTCGCCTATCTTTGACACGATTTTGTGTTAAGTATCGTCTAAACAAATAAATAAAGTGAAAAAAAGTTTTAAAATGAGAAATTTACGAGTATGAGAGGATGTACTCACCCGTACTCGCGTACTCATGTGTACACCAGCACACTGAGTGATTCACCCCTCGGCCAGAAGGCCGGTGGAGGCAGCAAAAATTCTAAGCGCGTTTCGAGCTCCAGACGCTAAATATGACTCGAACCGAACGTAAGGGAGGGTGGGGCGAATCCGGACGTTTTTTTTTCTTTTCCCCCTAGACGCTAGTTAACTCACCATTTTTCAAAATGACCAATTTGAGAATAAATTATTTTGTTTTTGATTTATTACATAATTAAATCACATTGTATCACAATCTTCTGAAATTATGATGTTTAAAGCATAATTAGGAACAATAATTAAACAGCAAACAATTAAAAAACTAGCAAAAAGTAAATTTGCTGAAGTTAAAATTAAATGTTAAGAAAGACTGTTGACGTCTTTTGGTTTTACCAGGACACTGGGGTTTTGGCAAAATGGCACATATATCACTAAGGTGAACTGAGTTGAGGTCAGGAATATTAGGCAGTACAAAGTTTGGTAGATTTGACTCAACTACTTTTCTCAAATACGATATCTCTAAATCGTTATCCTCATCTTTATCTTTAATAATTTTTCCTACACAATGTTTTAACTCTTTGCCAACCTTGAAGTTAACAATGACGTAGTCACCCTCAGTAGGAATTGGTATGTCTGGAGGCGCTGGGCTTTGAGCAGGCTTCGCCATTTCCACTGGATCATCAATTGCCTCTTCATCAGATAGTTCAAAATCAAGTACTCTGGATGTTTTTTCTTTCTTCTTCTTGTTTCCCTTTTTCTTCTTATTCTTTCCCTTACCTTCATTGGATTTGTCTTCTTTGGCTTTTTCTCTTTTTCTTTTCCTTTCCTCAGCCTTGTCTTTTTTCTTCTTTTGCTTCTTTTTCTCTTTCACTGATAGCGGTTTTCTCTGGGGTGTCAGTGGCCACCATACACTTTCCCTTTCGCCGTGGCTTCTTTGGAGGATTTTGGGGTGTGGCATGTGGGAATCCCCTGATAGCTTCTGGGCCCAAAAAAGACTCATTGTTTTTCTCGGGCACTTCATCTTCAATAGCTTCAGCATTTTCAGTGATGACTTCAGGTGTGACTGCTTCTTCAGGGCCTGAAGGGTGTGGCTGTTCGGTCACTTTGGCCATGATAAAATCACTCTCCTGAAAGACGTCTCTGTTGAACGGAGAAATTCCAGTTTTTTCAAAGCTATGGATAATGGTGTTGGGCATTGCTGCCTTGCTGAGGGCGTCACGCACAAAACCTGCTACATGATAAATTGTTACAGAAATTGCAGGGTTGCTTAGCATGAATGAGCTAATTGCATTATCATAGTATTTTTGGCTGAGCGATAGCGAAGCCCTTGCCGTGTTCGGGGGCACCAAAAAGTGACTGGTCGTGAGTCTGTCTGTCCGTCTCTCTGTCTGTCTGTATGTAATCACTCACGTTTCTCAGCAACTACTGCACTAATAGAAACCAAATTTCACATCAAACATCTCCCAAATCTCCTACAGGGGGAGTTTATCTCAGATTAACAATTATCATCGTTTGAAATATTCAAAACATCATTTTGAACTAGGTAATTAGCGTGTTTAGGTTGGTAGCAGCGTGTGGCTGACCAATTTCTCATACCGGCTGCCGCGCTTGCAAGCCGTCTGCAAGACGGGACGGCACTTATGCAAATAAACAAACTAAAGAGCAAAGGGGTTCTCAAATAGGTACTGAGATAGTTTTTTAACATTCTAGAATGATTGAAACCCTTCCGGGGTGTCAACATAGGAAAATACGGAAACTAAATGTGAGAATGGTTTACGTGTTTCGTTCCCCTCTTCCCCCTCCCCCGTTACAGGGCAACAGGTCAGTGCACTGAGTGTAGTTGTGGATTGTAAATAGAATGTTTTCTTTGCCTTTGTGTGCATCTACTGATTTTATTCTCTCTGATACTATCCTAATTTTTAAATTTCATAGTAAATAAAATCAGGTAAATGCATGAATAACTTCTGTTGAAATTAGAAGACATGTTAATTGTCTTGGTTTGTCTCGGGTAAATGACACTCTATTGCAATGCTGCAAGCTAACATAAATATTCTAGTACTTTCATCTATTGTTTAAAAGAATCCATAAATAGATGTATTTTGTGCAATAAATAATCGATATATTTAGTGCTAACAGATTTTGAACTGATATTGGGTTTAATGAGACGATTCAGGTTTTGAGCGGTGGGTGACTTGGTAATTGCTTTTAATAGGACGATTCCTTTCACTTCACCAAAGCTTGTGTCCGACAACTGGAACCAAGTATTTGGTAATGATTTAAAAGCTGGCCTTCTTAATGTAAGCCCAATGTTAATACTATACTGTATTCTTTTACTCTAAAGATAAAATATTACAAGGCATGAATAAGGTAAATTAAGTTGGCGTATTGAGCAACAAGTGGCCTCTGCATTTGACTTCATGAGACGATTCACTGAATTTGACAAAACTTGTTCTCCGTCGAATGCTTCAGATCAGCCTGCCCTAAACTGAGTCACTTAATGAAAACTATGATTACATATTCCAGTCTATATTGTTTAATTCACTGGTTTTAAATGAAAGAATGACAAAAGGCTTCTCAAATATAACTAATAAATTTGTGAATTCATTAGTTTGAAGAAAAAGATGTATCGAATAGTGAGTCAAGCAGACGAGTAGCTAATTAAGCGATTCAATGCTGGCAATGGAATGTTACTCGACTGAAGAAATCACATTGGTGTGGCATTAGGGTATTGGTGACGACAAAGGGTGATCCATGAAGACCAACCAAGACCCATTCTTTACCGATTATTGATCAATTTGATATCAATATTTTTCAATCGAATCTCATATTGATTCTTGGAGTTTTTGGAGTGCTGATTATGAAAACCACTTCCATTTCTACTCCAGACTTATTTTCATCTCAAATTAGGTCATTTCAGACCAAAATTTTCAGGTCGAGTTTTATATTGTTTCCTGCAGTGTTTGATGAGCTGAACTCAAAAATAACTTCCAAATTTTTCTCAGACTCACGCTTTACCCAATTTTGACCAAATTTAGACCAAAATTTTTGAATTGAGTTTGATGTTGATCCCAACAGTTCTTTGTGTGCTGATAACGAAAATCACCTCCATTTCGACTCCAGACTTATATTTTCTTCCCAAATTAGGTCATTTTGGACCAAAATTTTAAAATCAAGTTTTTTATTTTTTCCTGCAGTTTTTGGTGCGCTGAGCTCAAAAATGACTTCCAAATTTTTCCTAGACTCACGCATTACCGAATTTTGACCAATTTTGGACTAAAATTTTGGAATCGAGTTTGACGTTGATCCCAACATTTTTTTTGTGTGCTGATAACAAAAATCTCTCCCATTTATACCCCAGACCTACATTTCACTCAATATGAGCCCACAAGCTGCAGTCCGAAGTGCACAAATTCGCATCGCTCAGCCACACTACGCGCCCACACAAAACGGCGCGTACCCCTAGTTTAAAAGGCCCAAAAAAGCCTACATCTAAAGGCTGTAACTTGTGTGTACAATGCGGTGGGAAAGTAAACACTACAACTCCATTATCTTTGGCTAAATCTAACACTGCAGTTGAAAAATGGGTATCCACATTATCAAGGAGAAGCAGTGTGGGATTTTCTTTGGAAGACCTAGTACATTTTATAAAATGTTTCATTATATCTACAAAAGTTTCTTTGGTATTGTAACCTTTGTCACTAGCTAAACCTAAGGTCCCTGGATATGCGTTAATTAACATATTACTCTTAAATATCTTTCTAGGAAAAATCATCACAGGAGGGAGAACTTCTCCATGAGCCCCTATAATCACAGAAGTTGTAACTGAAACGCCTCGCTCTGAAGTCTTAACTTGATGGACTTGTTTGACGCCCCTGGGAGATACAAGTCTTCTTGTATTTTGCACAGTGGAGGTGCACGTCTCATCTAAGTTGTAAACCCTTGAGCCATCTTTAAATGATTCATTCCTGTTCAGTACCTCATGAAGCTTGTCAAAGTAATTGGACACATTCGGCTTGTTAAATGCCATGGCTCGTGCAATGCAGCAAGCCTCTGGAGTACGAATAGACAAACTCTTTGAATGCCGCTTCTTAAAACCTATTAAAGACAAAAGAAAAATAAAGTCAACATCATTTTGCATATTGTTTTATGGTAAGAGAAATATTACATGTATTTTACAAACATACCATGGAACCAATCAATTCCAGCCATTTTGGAATCGTGCCAGGTCTTGGGGCAAGGTATATTATTAGCCATGGCTACTTCGTAAGCTAGTTCACGAACCTTCTCCACTGATAGGCCATATCCCATCTTACAAATCTGGATACAATATTCTTCCAAAGACTTTTCGTGATCTTCATTATAAACTGTTTGACCACCAATAGAAGTTTTGAACACCATCTTGGGTGCCGTTGCAGTATCAATGCCCCTTTTCTTCACTTTTTGTACCATGTCCCATAGACTAGATTTGTTAACATTGCAATGTTGTGCAGCAGATCTCAATGACCATCCATCTTGAACTAGCTTGACAGCTGTCAAAACTTTGCTTGGGCTTGCAGGCTGCCTGTCAGTCTTTTTCTTGTATGCTCGTACCATCGTAAAGCTGCAAAGGAGAACAAAAAAGGGTTATTTTGTATCAAATACAATAAAATATGATAAGGGAAACATTAAGAGGGAACAGTCCATGTGTTGTTGACAGTGGCCATCAACGAAAACATAACCTCTCAACACCGCAATTTAGAACCAAACGAATAGATTTAGAAAAGCCATTACTTGTCCGAAATCACCCCGTCAAAACGTGTCCGTATTCGCCCCGAGTGTAGTTAAAACATTAAAACAATGACTATATCGAAAATATGAGGTAGGCGTCAATGCCACTTGCGGCAAATTGAAGACAATGAAATGAAGATTTAGATGAACTGCCAGTCATTGGACTTGAATTAAAAAGAAACGACGAAAATGACATGGATAGAAGGACAAGAGTTCTAACTTTTACCTGGTTTTGATGGTACCCAAATTTTGATGATTTCTTGACGCCAAACGGCGCCCCTCGCCCACCTCCACGTGCTGAAATTTTCATATTCACACGAAGATCTTGATCTGTAGTCGGTTAAGCGGTTGTGCCGGTCACTCTTTGGTGCCGACAACCGTCAACCGGCTGAGTGCAGCGACAGATGGTAGAGCGGAATTAGGAGGTGGGTCGGTGGAAAGGACGCACTGAGTTTAGATAGCTAGTCGACCGAATCACCGAGCACTCACTCGATATGCGTTCACGCGTGAGGACGTCCCGAACAGATCTGCCGCTCTCGCCTCGCGTCTTCCGGCGGCAGACGGCCCGCGGCTGGCTGTCCGACGGGTCGCGAATGCAACCGGATATGCATTCGCGACATCGCCTTTTCTTACAAGAGGGCCGCGACCAAAGGGCGCGCCTCTTCAAATGGGCCGCTTCCCTGACATCTGTTATGAAAATTACAGCGCTACAATAACTCCATCCGCGCAAAATTCAAACTGTCCGGATTCGCCCCATGTCCGGATTCGCCCCACCCTCCCTTATGATCCCATCAATGGATTTCTCTTTCGAACAAGGAATCCATTGGTGAGGTCTGACGTTTCGTTCGAGTCCTGGTTAGCCACTCTGGAGCTCAAAACGCGTCTAGAATTTTGGCCGCCTCCACCGGTCTTCTGGCCCACTGTGTTTCGTGGTAACGTTGCTTCTAAGGTAACCGTCGACGCGTTGCAGGCCATCTCGCGAGTGGACAAGGTGGCAATGATGAACAGCACCGGCTTGGTCGCCACCTTCTTCGTCATCAGCGGCTTCCTGGAGGCGTGGCTGCTCATGAAGCACAACGCCAAGCACCGCCGCTTTAGCGTCGCGGTCCTGGTGCAGCAGTTCGCCAATCGGTATTTGAGGTGGGCACTGCGATGACGCTAGATTTTTTGTCAGCATCTGGTCCGAGGAATGTCACGATATCGTGATTTATCGAGCAGTTGATAGATGCATCAATGGACTTCAAAGAGCTCCAGAGTCAATGAACAAGACTCGAACCGTACCTGGGACCCCACCAATGGGTTCCTCGTTCGGAGAGCAATTCGTTGGTGGGGTCACACGTTCGGTTCGAGGCCCATTCAGCGCCTCCGGAGTTCGAAACGCGTCCGGGATTTTGAAAACCTCCACCGGTCTTCTGGCCCACTGTGAGTCTGTGCCCTTCTTCAGACTGCTTCCGGCGCTCGCCGTGGCGCTGGCCATCGAGACGCAGTGGCTGCAGTACATGGGCTCGGGGCCCTTCTGGGGCCAAACGGCGGATAAAGTGATGCGGGACTGCCAGCAGTACTGGTGGACGCACTTCCTCTTCATCAACAACTACGTCGCCCAGGGGTCGACTGTGAGTCTTTGAGTGTTGCCCCAGTAGTGTTGCCGCCGAAAAAGAATTCCCTCGATGCACCACTGTCCCCCAACTGTCGAAAGGGTTGCGAGCCTCGGCCAGCATGCTCCCGAATAGTTATATGAAGAAAACCAAAGAGCCTTGTGCAAACATGTAAGAGACAATTGACCCTTAAAATAT